ACTACTACTACTACTACTACTACTACTACTACTACTACTACTACTACTACTACTACTACTACTACTTACTACTACTACTACTACGACTACTACTACGACTACGACTACTACTACGACTACTACTACTACGACTACGACTACGACTACTACCACTACTACTCCCACTACCACTACTACCACTATCACCACTACCACTACCACTGCTGCTGCTGCTGCTTGTCTGCTGGTGCTGCTGCTGCTGCTGCTGCTGCTCTGCTGCTTGTGTGTAGTGCAAGTACTTCTTGCGAGGGCTTGTTTCTTCAAAAGCTTGTGGCTTTGCAGTAAGAGGGTGAAGTGGGGCGCGTCATGGCGGGGCTGTGGCAGATGTACTTTGGCCTCGTTGTAGACCCTTCTGGCAAACACAGGTCTTTGCAGCGCAGCTCATTTGCTAACTAGAGCATCTGTCTATTTTTTTGTACTACAGCAACTAATTCTTGCAGCAGCTGAATCAGGATTCCTCGCCGCAGCCTGCTTTAGATAATCCAGTTTCTGGTCAGGTTGCTGCGAGGAATCCTGAATCAGGCTGCTGCCACAAATCCTAAAAAGAGAGGTGTGTTGACAGGTGGCTTGGCAAGAAGGCGTTCTGATCCATGGCCCTGGGCAGATTACTGACGCAAGAATCTTTGTGGTTGCAATAGCAAGGCTGCTTCCCTCATTGAGGCGTTAGCAAGGCTGCCCGGGCTGCCGCGTACCCGCAGAACACGCGCAAGCCAAACGCTTTTTTGGAAAATCCTGAAGTCTAGTGTCAATTGAAGTTCTTTCATTCCATCAGTTTCTTGCTTGCAGGATTCGGGCATATCTACCCTTAATGTGCTCCAGCTGTTTTGCAGGCTCAGCCTGTAGCCTGTCATGCCCCCCTAAGAAACAGAAGGCTGCTGCTGCTGCTGCTCCTCAGACTGAGTCTTTGCCTGTGGCAAAGAGAGCGCCAGCGGCAAGAAGGCGTCCCTGGAATTGCAGTGGCAGCGACTGGTGCGGTGTCTGCTCCAGAGGCTCTGAAGTGCAGCGGTGAGATCATCAGTCAGCGCTTGGAGAATGTTCGGGTGTTTCGCGCCAGATGCCAAAGGCTTCCAGCAAGTCTTCCAACATGCCAGCCGAGCATTTAAGTGGTGCTCAACGAATGTTGAGCCGGCCACTGAGTCTGCGAGGCAGGTCTCGCAGGAGAAGTGTGGGAATTCACACCAGGGGATGGTGGCAAGCTCGAAGCCCTTCTTCGTAGGGAGCGGGGCTTGGTTCAAGTGTTGAGCATGGTTGGCGACGGGCTGGAAGATTTGGTGCTGGTGCGAGTCGGGAGCTCGTTCGGGCAGTGCAAGCTGGGACTACTTGCTGCCGTTGCCACCGAAGATCACCAAGGCTTCCTCAGGAAGCAGCGTGTTGAAGAACAATACGCAGACGATTCACGTCGCAGGGTTCGACCTAGCGCAACTCTGAAAAGGTGACGCACGACGCGAGAATGAAGCGACTTATCATATATATATATATACAATATACACACACACACACCTTCTTTTCAAAACAACATATGTACAGGTGAGAGCTGACAGTTGGAATATGGGCTTCAATGATTGCCGATTTAAATAAATACTTTAAAGTATGGTTATGTCATGTTATGTCGTATACCCTGGGAGTGGGGGGCCGCAAGATAGAATATGCGTATTCTAATTGCAACATGCAGCCGGAGCTGCTATATTCCATCTCCATGTCTGTTCCTCTCTATATTCAGCGTATACTCCATATTCTATCTGCAACAAAAAATAATCATATTCTAACTGCAGACAGACAGACAGACAGACAGACAGCCAGCCAGCCAGCCAGCCAGCCAGGCAGGCAGGCAGACAGACAGACAGCCAGTGAGGCAGGCAGACAGACAGACAGCCAGGCAGGCAGGCAGGCAGACAGACAGACAGCCAGGCAGGCAGGCAGGCAGGCAGGCAGACAGACAGACAGACAGAGAGACAGACAGAAAGCGAGAGCGAGAGCGAGAGCGAGAGCGAGAGCGAGAGCGAGAGCGA